TATATAGAGAGAGAGAGACCTGGGATTGGTGACACGTGCCTTTTGTTTTAGCTCTCAGGAGACAGAGCATGGAAAGTTCAAGGCCAGGCTGGTCTACACAGCAAGTTTCAGGCCAGCCAGGGAGAAAGAGTGAATGCCTGTCTCATTTAAAAATACGTATCTAATAATCTGAACAAGCACCCATACGTTTAAAGTGGTGAAGAAATGAGAAACTTGGAGCCTTCGCACACTAACACGTTTTGTGGGAAACAATGGGGGCATACCTTTGCAAACTGGGAGAGAAGAGTGAGACACTGATGAAACTGTATTATAAACAGTCTATATTGAAACTGGCCAGGCCCCAGGTGAGCCGCCTCCAAGTCCTGTTGGCACTGGCCTTGCCGATCTTGGCCATGGAGTTCGAGCGAAGACTTAGTTAGCTTCCTCTCTTACGTGGTAAAGTTTTCATTTTCATGACACCTTCTGTCACAGTGTTCTGTGAGTGTGAGCCGTGAGTGACTCAGAGCACATTCCATACTCGTCCATCCCATGAGCACACGCCCCAGCACGCAGGTACACGGCCTTCCTCTCCAGGAACCCTCACCTCCTCACAAGACTCCTAAAGACTGCAGAAGCCCAAGCCTGGAGCAGAGGTGTGTCTCTGTCACCATCCCTGCCATGTTGACTTAAGGTGCCTCCCTCCCTGTACCTGTCTGAAGTCTAGCCAAGACCTCATTCCCCTGTCAGCCCTGTTCTCTGAGACCGTCAACAAGATAGTTGGTCAGAGCAGCCACTGGGGGAGGCACACACATTCTGAGTGAGGATAAAATCTGAACTAAGAGGATTATCATTAGTACTAAAGTTCACATGCTCCCAAGTGAGGGCCTGATGCTGACCCTCTGTCACTGTGGTTCTCCACATCTGGCAGCAAAGGCAAGACTGAATCTGACAGAAACAGCTGCTGTGATTACCCCCGGCATGAAAACCAACATGGCTCCGGCTATTTTGAAGACAGATTCTAAAAGACAGCAAGAAAGGACTCTTGGAATTGTATAAACCCATCTCTTCAAACCCTCAGGGAAGACTACAAGGGGTGGCCAGATTACTGGCTATACACATGAGCCAAGGGGATGTTCTCTGTGGATACCATGACCATTGCCTGGTGAAGCCCACAGCATTCTCAACCTCCAGCTGCTCTGACCCAGCAGCCAAGGGCACCACAGTACCATGGTCTTGAAGCTAACCTGCAGCTTCAAACAGTAAACTACCACAAGGTGGCCACTACACAGGCAGGCGGGTGGCTCTGAGCCCCTGCCTTAGGAACCTCAACATTGACAGCAATATGGAAACTGGAATCTAGAAACAGGGCCATGGAACCAAGACCCACACTGCCTGGAATTGCCTTTATTAACACCAGCCTTGCCCAGTTCCTTTCAGAATTCATGGAACAGGAATGGAGAAGTTATCACGACCTGCAAGCAAGGTGGACCCCTTAAAGATGGAGGACAGAACCCCACATCAGGTCCCAACTCTCCCTGAGCCATATTGTGCTTCAAGTTCTCCTTTCTGGGAAGTGTTGCCTCTGGCAGACCCTACCTAAAAGCTAGAGGGAGCTTGCCAGCCCTCACTGTGGCCTTTCATGGGGGTCAGGAGACCCTCCAGAGCGTGACACCCAAGTCTCCCAGCAGCTGCCAGTTATATCTTAGCAGAGGGGCTGCTGAGACTGTACCATATGTTACCCTGTAATGAAGAGCTGTGTCATCAGTGGGCCACTGCTCTCCCCAAGGCTCTCCTGAAGCAGCTGTCCCTCTCCACCAGCCATCTGGAAGACAGGGTAGTCCTGAGGCACCAACCCTGCTGAGGAAGCAACAGCCTAGGAAGGCATTTTTTTCTTTCTCAGACCTTGGAATTGACAACAGGGAACAAGGACAAAGGAAGCTAAACTTGAGGTCAAGGAGGATGGATGAAGAGGACAGGAAGTGGGCCAGCTCTCTTCCTTCCTCTGTGATTCCCAATGGGACACAGGTCAGTGCTCAACAACAGTAGTCTCCCCTGGTGTGGGGAAAATTTAAAAAGGCCACCACAGCGGCGCAAGCCCTGGAGGGGCTTCTGCCACCGCCTTGGCGGGTCCCACATCAGGGAGGAAGATCTTATGGTTCCAACAGCCTGAGGGCCTTGTTGGCGGCAGGCCCCAGTAACACGAGGAAGTCCTTGGTTCCAAAAAGGTTTATTCTCATGGCAGATAATAGATGGATCTAGGTGTACCCCCCCAAAACTCAGGGCAGTCCCAAGTTATATAGGGAGGGAGAAAGGGGGAGGATTGGGGGAGGATCTGGGGGAGGAATGTTTAATTTGCTCTGCCCTCTGGCCTTCATTAGTATGTAAATCCCTAGGGCCTGAGGCCTATAGCCTGGCCTATGTGACTCTATGGAGATGTGACTGTTTTTCAGGATCCTAGATGATGGGAGGGATTGAACTCCTGCCGGTTCTCACGCAGAATTCCACGGAGAATCTCGGGGTTCTAAGTACCTGCTCAACCATGACCCAGGATACTCTTATGCAGTCCCACACCCAGGGGCCTGGAGGGCCTACCAGACAGTCTCTGGAAACAAGTACTCACCACCCTGCAGACTTGTGTCACCCAGGAAGTAGGTCAGAGAGTCACCAGTCTTGGGGCAGGCCTGGAACTACCCACTGAACCTTTTAGGTCCCAGGCCTACAAGGCAGGTCCAGTGGGGCTGAGGCTGTGAGCTGGTTCCACCAGGACACTAGGAGCCACCTTTCATTAAACTCTGCTTGTCAGTCACTACAGGCATCTACGAGGGTGGCCTCACCCTGGAGATTCCAGGGCTGCCCAAGAGGTGCTGAGACAACAGCTGGCCGAGACTCCTTGTTCCCTACAGATCCGTGACCTTGTTTTCCACAGCAGCAGCAATCTGCTGGAGCCGGTAGCCCAGCTGCATCTTCTGGGCAGTGCCATCTTCCTCCAGGGCAGTGATGATCTGAAAGGCAGGACCAACAGAATCAGGGGAGACTTCTCTGGACCTCACAGTCACCACAGGTAGACCTACTAAGGGGCTGCAGCATTTGGGCCAGGTAGGCAATGGAAATCCAGTGTCTTCAGATATAACAGTGAGGCTGATTGTGGGTCTCACAGGTGAGGGTAAAAACAGAACAGTCGCCTGGGTTGCTTTTCTAGGGTGTCTGAGGCATCGTTCAGCATAGCCTAAAGCACAAACTTCCTGCCTCTCCAGTGTTGATACAGTTGAGCCCCTCCACATGGCAGATGTTCCAGAACAGGCCTTCAGGGAATGACACAAGCCACTCACCACCTAGCACCCTTTCTTTGACATGCTCATTTTGTGTAGCAGCCAGCCTTACACACCCACTGGCCTTCTTACAAGGTCTATGGTAGTCAGCCCCAATGCCTTTCCTGCCAGCTAATGGCATTTCATGGTTCTCTGTGCCAAGACCAAGAGGATATGTTTTGGGAGACAGATATGGAGGTTTGGGAGAGGAGCTGCCTGTCCTGTGCTCCAACAGGTGGAGGCTGCGTCCCTTCTGCCTGCCTGTGCTGGGGCTGGCTTCACACCATATGAGGCTGTGGGTCCTTTGGTTGTTACCAGACTACTCAGCTAAGACCATGATGCAGGTTTCTGTGTTCTCAATGCCAAGCACTCGAGCCATATGATTGTGGTGATTCTATAGGCACTTACAGATTGACTAACAGTGCCACAGATGCTCTTAGAACATCAAGGCTGGTCAGAGAGGCCCTAGAAAGACCCCTCCTGGTTCTGTTGTCCCCTCATCTACCCTCATCCTGTGCTTGACACCTCACCCCTGCTTCCATGGTTTATGACGCCCAGTCCAGTCTGTACCCACAGAAGGTGTCATGCCCAGGACAAGGACAACCTTGGGATCTAAGGAGGGATGGTAGCTATGTCGTCTTCTAGCACATCCCATGTACCATCTCCAGATCCTGGCAGATTCTCTGGATGCTGCCAACCACCACAACCACTCCTGGGAAGCCCCACAGCAGAAGCAGGATGGGGAATTGAGAGCACAGGGAGAGCAGAGCCAATGGCACTGATCCAGCCCGTGGGACCCTCACTCAGCTCCCCAAGGAGCACACTGAGCTCACGGTTAGCCCTGCCATCTGCCCGGCTGTGCTCACCTGGTCGTACTTGTTGATGTACTTGTAGAGCTCGTGCAGAGCTACTCGCGCCCCGAGGTCGGCAGAGCAGTTCTAGGGAAGAGGGCAGATGGAAGTGAGGGAGATGAAGAGGCTGCAGTGGGGAAGAGGCCCGGGACCCCAGTGAAGGATGAGATGAGAGAAGGGGACCTGAGAAAGCACGGGCCCTGCAATGGGAACAGAGCCCAAGGCAAAGCATGGTGACAGCTCAGGACAGGACAAGGCCAAACCTCCATGGTCGGAAGAAACAGCAGGACCAGCTTCAGCAGGGCTGGAGCTTCCACTGAGCCCTGCTTGCCTCTCCGAGTCAAGGCTAAAGCTAGAAACCCCGCCCACTCATTCCAAGTGACTACAGGGCCGTGGGACTAGAACTGCCTGGGAACTCGGCACAATTTTGCTCTCATCTTACTCAAATGTTTCCCAAGTCCATTCCAAAGCTTTCCCTAAGGACATCAACACGCAGCCTCCTCTTCTAGACAGTGCTTTTTTGGGGGGAGCTCATGGTGGGGAGGGTTTCAAGATAAAGTTTCTCTGTATAGCCCTGGCTGTCCTGGAACTCACTCAGTAGACTAGGCTGGCCTCCAACTCAGTAATCCAGTCTAGACAGTACTAATGGTTCAGCCAAAGTAACTCATGGAACTCTTAGGGGGACCGAATGCAGAAGCACACCCCAAGAAGGGTTTGACACCGTGTATCCCAAAAGTACAGCTGTGTTGGTACGGGTGCTCTCATAGTCAGCTAGGAAACAGTTCCCGTGTACGTGTGGAGGGTAAAGCATGGTCCAGAACGGTGGGTAGCATGGCCGATAAGTCAAAGGCTTAGAGTTGACTCATCCACTCTGCAGACCCCATGGCTGCACGTACACAAGCGCCTGTCAGACCAGACTAAGTGACAGCATTCCAATGAGACCCCTGCTCACTCTGAGGACATGACAGGTCTGGCCTTTTGCAGGAAGACAGGAACACTCTGCCTTAATGATGACAGGGTGTGTCCTCTCCAAGGTAGATCACAGAGGGGTGACAAGGACCTCTCTACAAATGAGATGCATGAAGGGGAGGCCTTACCCGGAACAGCTCTGCCAAAACTGAGTTCATCTCTTGGTCACTGGCTGCCACAGTCTGTCTGATGTCTGCATAGTACCTGCCAAAAGACCCGGGATTGCAGATGATAAATAACCAGAACCTACTTCCTTGGTCCCGCCAGGGCCCACCTAAGGCCTCAGCCGCATACCTGCCTCTCCAGACCCACTCCCTCCCTCCCTCCCCAGTACCTTTCCACCATCTGTTTGTAACGGGGAATATCTCGAGCGTACAGAAGTTTGTTGATGGGGGAATCCTGGATGCCAGCAGGAGGGCAGGAGAGAAGGAAGGATCAAAGTTCAGAAGGTTATCAGCTCCTGGGCTCCCAACATGGTCAGTTTTATAACAAAACAACCCACATCCCAGAAACCTCCCAGTTTCCAGCAAACCAGGACAGTTGGTGACACTGGCCTACTTCCTTGTTCTTCTTCTATGTTACCTTTGTGTTTGTATGTGTGCAGGTATGTGTGCAGGTCAGAGGACAACTTATAGGAGCTGGCTCTCTCCTTTCAGCACATGGGTCCCAGGGACTCAACTCGGTCATTGTGGGCTGGCAGCAGGGACGCCCCCCTCCACTCTGCTCATCCCCTGAGACTGACCATGGCCACTTTCTGGGGGGGCTGTGGGTTGAGGCCTGCCATGGGAATGCCATAAGTCAGAGGCTGCCTCAGACCATCTTTTCCTTGTGACTTTGAGGAAACCCTGAAGATCTGTGCACCAGACACTCCATAGCCACCAGCTCGGTGGGTGACCCCACTGTCCCTGTCGTATCCCCCCCAGTCTGCTCACCCGGCCCAGCTTGTGGTCAGCCAGGGTGCAGGCATCCATGAAGGTCTGTGCAATGACAAGGAGCACGGCGTCCATGTTATCTGAAGTCTGCACATCGAACACAAACTGTGGGTTCTTGATGATGTTGATCCAGAACCTCAGCGGCAGGCTGCAAATTGGGGGAACAGGAGCCAGTAACTGTGCTGTGGAGGCAGAGGCCCTCGCATATGTCCTGAGCCCTGACCCTCCCATACCTGTTGGTCTTCCAGATGTGGATGGTATCCTGATCAGAGATGCCATGCTGCTGAGCCTGTTCATCCAGCAGGTCAAAGAAGTACTTCACAGCCAGAGGCACAGGGCGGCTGGTGCTCAGAATCACCTGGAACAGGTCATCCACAAACTTCTGCAATGTGCCCTGTGAGGAAGAGAAGGAAGCAGAGGGCCTAGTTAGGATGGAGTCCTGGCATCAGTCAGCCTTAGGTAGCTCATGGTACCCCCTCATGCAAGTCCCACACTACCCCCATGTCCCATGACAGCCCAGACCTTTTCTACTTTTTTTCACTGTGTAGCTCTTGCTGTCCTGGACCTCTGTAGGCCAGACTAGCCTCAAACTCAGAGGTCCACCTGCCTCTTTCCTGAAACTTACTATGTAGACTAGGCTGGTCTTAGACTCACATACAACTTTCTACCTGTGTCTCCCCAGTAGTAGAACTAACATGAGACATCATATCTGGCAAAAATTGGAACTTATTATAAGAATTGTTGAGTGACTTACAATCTGTACAGTCTTAAATAGCAGTACACTCAAACTTACCACATCACAGTTAAGGGGCAGGGTTGACAGAATACATCTTTGGGTTTGGGTGTGAGAGTGATGTATAAATATCCTGGTTATCACTGTGGAAATAATGTTCACAGCAACATGGGACCAACATGAATTTGAGCCATAACCTCCTCATGCATTTAATGGTGGATCTCACAGGTAGGTTGCAGACTGGAGTAATGTGTGGAAGAGCTCCAAGGGACAACCAAATGAGCCCCCTATCTCTTTCCCTCTCTTGCGCTGTCTCTCTCTCTCTCTCTCTCTCTAATATTTATTTATTTTATGTATATGAGTACACTCTTGTTTTTTTTCAAACACACCAGAAGAGTGCATCAGCATCAGATCCCATTACAGATGGTTTTTGCCACCATGTAGTTGCTGGGTATTGAACTCAGAACCTCTGGAAGAGCAGTCAGTGCTCTTAACTGCTGAACCATCTCCCCAGCACCGAATTGGACTCTCTTATGATTATGATGTTACCAAGCAAGCCAATCCCGCTGCCTACCTCCCAGAAGGACTGGGAGGGAGGCTCTCTGGAGCTCACCTCTGTCTTCTGTAGAAGTTCCTCGGTCATGTGAAAGCCCATAGGAAAGAAGAAGTCTGGAAGACAGAAGCATACACAGAAGAGTTACTGCCGTGCCTGTTACCCCAGGGAAAAGGGTAGGTGAAGGGCCCTGATCATTCAGGAGCATCCCATTCCATCATTAGAGCCCAGAGTTTCCTTCTTTTTTTTTTTTTTAAATTTTTATTGGATGTTTTATTTACATTTCATATGTTGTCCCCTTACCCCATCTCCCACCCACCCAGGAACCCCCAATCCCCTCACCCCTCCTCCTTCTTCTCTGTGGATGTAACCTCTATCTACCCCACACACCCTCAAAATTCCCACCCCCTGGGGCATCCAGCCTTCATGCGGTCAAGGTTCTCTTCTTCCACCTATGCCCAGCAGGGCCCTCCACTCTTACATATTCAACTGAAGCGCTGGATCCCTCCCTAAGTGCTCCCAGGCTGGTGGTTTAGACCCTGGGAGTTGTGGTTGGTTGGTATTGTTGCTCTCCTCATGGTGCCGCAAATCCTTTCAGCTCTCCTTCAGTCTTCACTCTAACTCCTCTATTGAGAACCCCATGATCAGTTCAATGGCTAGTTGTGAGCATCTGCCTCTGAGTATGTCAGACTCTTGAAGACCTCTGAGGAGATATCCATATCAGGCTCTTATCAGCATGTACTTCCTGACTTCCACTTCAGCATCTACCTTTGGTGATTGCACATGGGATAGATACTCAGGTGGAGTGGTCTTGAGACAACCCCTCCTTCAGTTTCTGTCCCTCACTTTGTCTCCATATTTGCTCCCTTGAGTATTTTGTTGCTCCTTCTAAGAAGGACCGAATCATCCCCACTTGGTCTTCTTTCTTTATGGGCTTCATGTGGCCTGTGAGTTGCATCTTGGGCATTTCAAGGTTCTGGGCTGTGGGACTGCGTAAGGGTATCCTGGGTCATGGTTGAGCAGGTGTTTAGAACCCCGAGATTCTCCGTGGAATTCTGCGTGAGAACCGGCAGTAGTTCAATCCCTCCCATCATCTAGGATCCTGAAAAACAGTCACATCTCCATAGAGTCACATAGGGCAGGCTATAGGCCTCAGGCCCTAGGGATTTACATACTAATGAAGGCCAGAGGGCAGAGCAAATTAAACATTCCTCCCCCAGATCCTCCCCCAATCCTCCCCCTTTCTCCCTCCCTATATAACTTGGGACTGCCCTGAGTTTTGGGGGGGTACGCCTAGATCCATCTATTGTCCGCCATGAGAATAAACCTTTTTGGAACCAAGGACTTCCTCGTGTTACTGGGGCCTGCCGCCGCCAAGGCCCTCAGGCCGCTGGAACCATAGGATCTTCCTCCTGAATGTGGGACCTGCTGCGGCAGCGGAAGCCCCTCAGGGGCTTGCGCTGCTGTGGCGGCCTTTTTAAATTTTCCCCACATTTGGCGAATCGTGGAGCACAGACTTCAAGGACCGGGCCACCCCAGTCTGCTACAGAACACAGCCGAGCTTCCCACCCTGCTTGTCCGGTGCTGTGAGGAATCGACTCAGTGAAGATTCCGCGCTTCTCCCATGCTGACTAAAGCTGCAGCTGCTTAATCTCTCACTTGGAAGATGTCTGCGTTCCAGCCATGAGGACCCACATCTCCAAGCAAGCTGGCCAGGCCGCTGAGTCTGCTAAGCAAGTACAGTCTCTCCCACGGATGCTGCTAGGGCCTCTTTCTTCTTCCCCTATCCCTCTCCTCTTCTCGGCTGTGGGTTGTCCGACATGAGCCCACATGCCCCGTCTCAGCCCTCCGAGCCAAGGGCTTGAGACCTACCGGTCCCTGGCTGCCCCAGAGCAGAGGGGATCCCCAACCCCTTTCATTTTCTTGGCAGTGGGTTGTCCGACGCGAGCCCACATGCCCCAAGAGCTCTGCACCCCCGTAGAACCTGAGTGAAAATTCCCCATGCTGGGTGGGGCCCCACCAGACTTACCTGGTGTCGCAGGGAATAAACTCAGCCAAGATCCCGTGTGCTCCTGCCATGCTGACCCACTGCAACATGACAGATGCACGGACACACAACACAACAGAGATTCACGCCCGCGCGGGCCTACTTCGTTCCCTACAGGTGGTAGAGGATCCAGACAAAGCCAGCTCCAAGAGTACCCCCCGCTGGCACCCGCCAAGACCCTCTCCATGGAACCGTGAGTAACTCCAGCCTAGTCCCTAAGACTAGACGGCTCTCTCTCTATCCTTTCTCTCTCTTTCTCTCTCCCCGTGTTTTGGGCCAACGTTTTCTCTCTAAATCTTAACTACCACTAGCTCCTGCCTGGCTCAAAAGACTAGATCTCTCTCTCTCCCTCTGCTCCACGTGTTCGCTACAAAATGGTGGAGACCCCTTAATCGCCATTCTTTACCCCTCCCCCCAAGAAATCTCCTGCGCTCTGCCTGCCAAGAGGTTTGCCCCTCCCCCAGGGGTTAACTTTTCGCGCTAAAATTCCCCCACTCCCCGCCATTTGCGGCCGCTGGTTACAGCCCAGCTGACTTGCCTGTAAAAACAGGGCTGGCTCTCTGTTTGCCCCTTCCCCACTAGCCCCCTTCTAAGTCATTTGCGGCCAGCCATCACCCAGCTGGCTTGCCTGATAGCAGAGAGTCTGAGACTCCATCTGCGCCCCTTCACCCTTGTCTAACTTACAATTTCTTTCTCAACCTCTAGGTGTCTCTCTGCCGTAGCTCAGTCTCACACAGCCTTTCACTCCTTCTGACTCTGTTACCAAACTTCTATGTTTTTCGCTTTAAACTTTTCTTCAAAGTTAGCCTTTCTTTTCTCTAAGAAAAACAACAGGGGGACTTCCTTGGCCTCTCTGCTAGAACATCCAGATGGTAACCCAAACCACCACATGGCAGAACAGGCCTTTCCTCCACCACTTCTAAATCTGCCATTAATGCCTTTTCCCCTAACAGGAATGCCTGGAACAACAGTGTTTGTGCTTTTCAACCCCAAATTTTTTACTTTTTGTTTAAATGTCTCCTTATCACTCATGATACATTCTCAACAATTTTTTTCAACTTTTAAAATTTCTTCAAGGTGTGAAAGTCATCTAAATTTACTTCCACAGGTTAAATCAAGAAGCTGATCAACATCTTTCAGCTATTAGTTAACAACTAGTTTCCTTTTACAGACAAACTGTTGCTGCCTACATAATTAATATGATTTTCTTCCACAGTCAGCTAAAACAGACTCAAAGGTGACTTCTAAAACTGAAATTTCTTCAAACACCTTTGCTTTCTAGGATCTCAACGACATACCATGACGTACCTTGTAAGGAGCCGCCATTAGAAGATGGCGCTTGTTCCCTCTGTTTGAGGTGGAAAACAACTGCATTCAGGGTCGTAAACACCTGCTGTGAGCCTTTCAGACCCAGCTCCTCACCCTCCCGAGCAGTATGTAAATGAAGTTCTGCAAGAAGCACCAATTAGACACTTATACACAGTTGTGATAACTATTTAAGCAGCACCCATTTCAGGCTTGGGGTCTTTCGCTTTACAATCAATGGTGTGTTCCCCAATAAAGTGTGTGAGGAAGGATCCTGTTGTTGCGTCATCCTTGCTGGCGAGGCGGGCGAGACAGTACCTGATCCCAAGTAGACTAATGCTTGCTACCCCTTTACAGACATCCCCCTGCTGGGGTGCCACTTCTCTGTTGTGATTTTTCTACAGGTGCTCCCACAAGTCCAACAGAGACTTATAGAGCCTCCTGGAACCTGCCTAGGATGCCGTGCTGTCTTCTTACAGCCACACCGCCTGACTGCAGATTCCAGAGACACGCTGAGATCCAGAGACACCGGCCAAGATCCAGAGATGCTGAGTCCTGTGGACAGATTCAGACCTTCCAAAGGTCTGCCAAAGTCAAATAACTAAAGTTACATGTTAGTGAGGAAAATGTAATGTCTATCTAGATTAGTCAGATATTACTACCCTCAAACTGTACCACATAAATTCAATTGATTCAATGATCCCTTACCTTCCCTACCCCCCACCCCACTCCCCTTTACCCTGTGACGTAATTATGCTAATACCTCTGGCCTACATAGTGCTTTCTTTCGACTTCCACATCCAAAATTTTCACAGTGACCCCCCTTTTTAAAAAAAAGTAAAGGGAGGAGATGTGGGACTGCGTAAGGGTATCCTGGGTCATGGTTGAGCAGGTGCTTAGAACTCCGAGATTCTCCGTGGAATTCTCCGTGAGAACCAGCAGGAGTTCGGTCCCTCCCATCATCTAGGATCCTGAAAAACAGTCACATCTCCATAAAGTCACATAGGCCAGGCTATAGGCCTCAGGCCCTAGGGATTTACATACTAATGAAGGCCAGAGGGCAGAGCAAATTAAACATGCCTCCCCCAGATCCTCCCCCAATCCTCCCCCTTTCTCCCTCCCTATATAACTCGGGACTGCCCTGAGTTTTGGGGGGGGGTACGCCTAGATCCATCTATTGTCCGCCATGACAATAAACCTTTTTGGAACCAAGGACTTCCTCGTGTTACTGGGGCCTGCCAACGGCAAGGCCCTCAGGTCGCTGGAACCTTAGGATCTTCCTCCCGAATGTAGGACCTGCCGCGGCGTCGGAAGCCCCTCTGGGGCTTGCGCCACTGTGGTGGCCTTTTTAAATTTTCCCCACACTGGGCTAATATCCAATAATCAGTGAGTGAATACCATGTGTGTTCTTTTGTGATTGGCTTACCTCACTCAGGATGATAATTTCTAGTTCCATCCATTTACCTAGGAACCTCTGGAATTCATTGTTTTTAATAGCTGAGTAATACTTTATTGTGTAAATATACCACATTTTTTGAATCCATTCCTCAGTTGAAGGACATCTGGGTTCTTTCCAGCTCCTGGCTATTATAAACAAGGCTGCTATGAACATAGTTGAGCATATGTCCTTGTTATATGTTCGAGCATCTTCTGGGTATATGCCTAGGACCCAGGATAGTGAATACTATTCTCAACAATAAAAGAACTTTGGGAGGAATCACCATCCCTGAACTCAAGCTGTACTACAAAGCAATAGTGATAAAAACTACCTGATATTGGTACAGAGACAGGCAGGAAGATCAATGGAATAGAATTGAAGACCCAGAAATGAACCCACACTCCTATGGTCACTTGATCTTTGACAAAGGAGCTAAAACTGTCCAGTGGAAAAAGGACAGCATTTTCAACAAATGGTGCTGGTTCAACTGGAGGACAACATGTAGAAGAATGCACATTTATCCATTCTTATCTCCTTGTACAAAGCTCAAGTCCAAGTGAGGATAAAGGACCTCCACATAAAACCAGATACACTGAAACTAAAAGAAGAGAAGGTGAGGAAGAGCCTTGAATACTTGGGCACAGGGGAAAAGTTCCTGAACAGAACTCCAATGGCATATGCTCTAAGATCAAGAATTGACAAGTGGGACTTCATAAAATTGCAAAGTTTCTGTAAGGCAAAGGACACTGTCAATAGGACAAAACGACAACCAACAAATTGGGAAAAGATCTTTACCAATCCTTCATCTGATAGAGGGCTAATATCCAATATATACAAAGAACTCAAGAAATTAGACTCCAGATAACCAAATATCCCTATTAAAAAATGGGGTATAGAGCTTAACAAAGAATTTTCACCGGAAGAAACTCGAATGGCCGAGAAGCACCTAAAGAAATGTTCAGCATCCTTAGTCGTCAGGGAAATGCAAATCAAAACAACCCTGAGATTCCATCTCACACCAGTCAGAATGGCTAAGATTAAAAACTCAGGTGATAGTAGATGCTGGCGAGGGTGTGGAGAAAGAGGAACACTCCTCCATTGTTGGTGGGACTGCAAGATGGTGCAACCACTTTGGAAAACAGTCTGGCGGTTTTCAGAAAATTGGACATAGCATTACCTGAGGATCCAGCTATACCAGGGTTTCCTTCTTAGCACAAGATGATCTCTACAGGACCAGTCAGTCAGGAGTGAACCAGAGATCTGCTCCATTCCCTTCATGGGGAAATAGCTTAGGAAACTCATAGGTTAACTTTTTGTCATTTTAAAAATTCTTTTTTAAATATTGGTATATATCATTTTATGTGGTATTGGGTTTCATAAAGACATTTTTATATAAGTATGAGCTATTCTTTGAAGCTGCAGAGGTGGCTCAGCAGTTAAGAGCACTTATGGTTCTTGAAGAAGACCAGTGTTCAGTTCCCAGCACCCACACAATGGCTCACAACCACTCATAACTCCATGGCCTTTTTCTTGCCTTTGAAGGCAGTGAACAAACAGTGCCAGTTCACAAACATGGTCCCCATATGTGCATGCTAGCAAAACACGCGTGCACATGAGCCTTAAAGGAAAGTTCTTTGGCAATATTCCTCCCTGTACCCTTCACATCCTCTCCCTTTTCTTCTCTCTCCTGACAGCTAGTCCTGTTCCTTCTGCTAGACAGCAGGCCCTACCACCCTTCTTTCTTTAGGGTTTGTGTAGTCTAGGCTGGCTTTGGGATCTCTATATAAGTCCAGGATGTCTTTGAACTTTTGAGTCCCTATGTCCAGTTATGTGGAACTAGGGATGGAACCCAGGGCTTTGTGCAGGCTAGACAAGTACTCTCCTGAGCTACCCTCAACCATCCATGCCACTTGCATTTGTATTCGTTGGTTAAGAAAATATATATGTTATAAATTATCTGTAGTAAACATAGACATCTTAAAGGATGTTGAGTTTCACTAGTCTACATGTAAGGAATTATAGAAGAATCATACATAATTAATTATAGTTGAATCATATAACTTCAAATCATTGAAAAACAGGGTCTCTCTACATAGCCCTGGCTGTCCTGGAACTCACTCTGTAGAGAAGGCTGATCTCAAGTTTAAACTCACAGATCCCCTGCCTCTGCCTCCTAAGTATTGGCATTAAAGGTATGGACCACCATGCCAGACATCTCTGTGTCATTTATGAAAATATTTATTAATACTTGGCATAGGTCATGCTATCACTGTATCATCCTCCACTGGTGTGTCCTATTGTGACTCTGGGGACATTCCTGCCATACAAGCTACCTAGCCTAGCTTGGAGCACACAGTGTATATTTCTTGGATATGTAATCAGCAGGTGTTGGGCCCTGGGAAAACCAGCATGGTATTAAAGACCTTGGGAGCAACATGGATGATGTCTTACAGTAATTTAAGCTGTTACTAAACAAACATTCTCTCATGCTCGAGAAAAATAATTCCTATTGATAACCTGTGTTCTATTTCAGACAACATATCCAGCACATGGGCCACACAGACAGCTGTCACGGATGTGGCAAATGCTGAAAAAATAAAAGCCTAAATGGGAAAGAATGTGTGGGCCCCCCAGAGCCTCCACAGTTAACAGTGGATGCTGCATTTGTTCAACACCGTCTATCGAGAAGAATAGAGTCTCCTTCTCCAGAGCCTACTGAAGTTCTCTTGTGGCTTGAGATATGTACAGATATGAACTGTGGACATTAGTGCTGCCCTGGCAAGTGTCCTCTTGATAAACTAGTATTTGGAAAACCAGTGGCCCTGGATTTGAAAGGCTGGGATCCAACTCCCAGTTTTGATGCCAGTGACACTGTAGGAATCTTTGCTTTCTTTGGATTTCTGTTCATTTGTAAAATGAGGAATTAAGGATCAAATAAATCTAAAAGGTGACTGGGAATACAGCTAAATGGTACAATGCTTAGCCAGTATGCACAAGGTACTCCATCTCCAGCACCATGAGTGAATGAATGAATGAATCTAATGGCATTTCCACTTCAAATATCCCCACAGATTAGACGTATTGCAGAAAATGTGTATAGAGCAAGATGTTGTAACTCACCCACTGCAAAGGAAGTGCACACTGAGCTGGCTAGAACAAGGATGGCAGCTAACAAGGTCACTTTCATGGTGACAGATCTGAGGAAGGAAGAAGTTATTTGTCTTCCAGCTCTATTTGCTTTTCAGCTGTGGAAGACACTCCTGACTGAAGGAGCCTCAGCTCAGTGTTAAAGACAACGTCAGTGAAAGTTATCAGCCTTCTGTGGGAGGAAACCAGCTTCTCTGTCTCCCCTGGCCTGATAGTGTAGAGAAAAGTAGCCTTTCCTGTCCTCCCCATCCCTCTGTTCTCCAGGGGAGAAATTCCTTCTGTGATAACCTTCTGCAGAATCAGTGTTCTAGCATCAGACATGAGTCGCATGTGGTTCTCTTCAGTAATTTTTCTAACCCCTACATAAGAGCAAACCACAGTAATCCCAGCACTTGGGAGGCAGAGGCAGGTAGATTCCCGAGTTCAAGGCTAGCCTACTCTACAGAGTTATTTTCAGGCAGCCAGGGCTACACAGAGAAACCCTATCTAGAAAAACAAAAACAAAAACAAAAACAAAAAAGAGCAAACCACAGAAGCTAAGAAGGAAGGGTAGTATATTTAGACATTTTCCAAGAACTCTGGATTGGCAGGTGGTGTTGTCTGTGTGCTCAGTTTTGCAGCCTGAATGGTACTGCCATCATGGCCTCAGTTGTGCTAATGTCTCAGGGCCTACTAAGTCTGGGGTCCTCTTACAGTGGTTTGAATAAGAATGACCCCCTAGGCTCATATATTTGAATGCTCAGTCATCAGTGAGCAGCATTACTTGAGAAAGATGAAGAGGTGTGGCCTTGTTGGAGGAAGGGAATTAGTTTTGGGGTTTCAAAAGCTACTTCTCCAGGACCGTGTCTTCCTGCTCACCGCCATGCTTCCCACCATGATGAAAATGAACTGATCTGAAAGCACGCCCAGTTAAATGTTTTCTAAGAGTTGCCTTGTCATCCTGTCTGTTCACAGCCACAGAGCAGCAAGCAGGCCAGTATTCTTGGTAGTTCTTTCCTAGAACAGGATAACCAGGATTCAGTAGCTCACTCCAGTGTATGGCTACTGAGTGTCACTTTAGCCTGATTTTGCCGTTCTGGTCATCACCCCTTTTTATGGTCCTCAAATCACACCCAAGCCACTACTGCATCTTTTGTTCATTTGTTTGAGATAGGGTCTCACTCTAGCCTAGGCTAACCTGGAACTCACTTTGTAGTTCAGACTGGCAGTCCTGCTTTAGTGTGAGATTACAGGCATGCATCCAGTCTCCAGATCTTTTTTCCTATGTCTCCCCATCTGTAAGGAGCCGCCATTAGAAGATGGCGCCTGTTTCCTGTCTCTGAGGTGGAAAACAGCTGCATTCAGGGTAGTAAACCCCTGCTGTGAACATAGGTATCTTTCAAACACAGCTCCTCACCCTCCCGAACAATATGTAAATGAAATTCTACAAGAAACACCAATTAGACACTTTTACACAGTTGTGATAACTATTTAAACAACACCCAGTTCAGGCTTCGGGGTCTTTCACTTTACAATCAATGGTGTGTTCCCCAATAAATTGCGTGAAGAAAGATCCTGTTGTTGCGTCATCCTTGCTGGCAAGGTGGGCGTGACACCCAGCAATTTATCTCATCAAATTCTTTGAAGCCCAGCACTGTGTGTGAGCACAGGTCTATGTTTTATGCTCTCTGGAGCAATTATGTTTAGGATAGCTTCAGATACTTGCACACCATAGTCATTACAACACTTGCATATGTGGTTAATTATTTTATCCAGAGTCAAAGCTAGCTATTCATCTTTTGGGGAGGAGGTTTTGAGACAGAGTCTATTTCAGCCCAGACAAGTCTGGAACTTGTGTATTTGCCTTACTAAAGCATTTACTGATAACATTTCTATAATTGACTAATAGAATCAATGTGTGTGTGTGTGTGTGTGTGTGTATTTGGGTGTATGCATACACACACACACACACACTCATGGTGCAAGCATGGGTGTGGATGCATGTAAGTGGGTAGGTGTGGAAATGGATGCCTGAGGGTCAAACTCAGTTGTTATCCCTCAGACACTATCCATCTTGCTTTGTTTTAAAGAGTTGTCTGTTTTTATTGTATGTGTGTGAGTGAATTGTCTGCATGTATGTGTATTCATTACATGTGTACAGTATCCATGGATGCTTGAAAAGGGTAACAGACTCCTTGTTGCTGACTTACAACCTGATGTGAGCTACATGTGGGGTCCTCTGCAAGAGCAGCAAGTGTTCTTCTTTTGGGGGGGAGGTTTCAAGACAAGGTTTCTCTGTGTAGTCCTGGCTGTCCTGGAACTCACTCTGTAGACCAGGCTGGCCTCAAACTCAGAAATCTGCCTGCCTCTGTCACCCAAGTGCTAGGATTAAAGCTTGGGACACCACTGCCCAGCTCAGCAAGTGTTCTTGATCACTGAGATAGTGATCCTTTCCCCACTTCACCCTATCCACATCATGCTTTTAAGATATTGTCTTTCTTCACGGGCATGGAACTGCCAAGTAGAATAGGCTGGCTAGCCATCCAGAGTCAGAAGTCTGCCTCCCAGTTCCAGGATTGCAAATTCACACTCTCTACACCTGTGACCCCCTGTAGGTTCTGTATCCTAAACCAGTAAACACTTTGCTGGCTGAGCTAACCCCTCACCCTTCTTTTTTATAGGTTTGTTTGTTGAGAAAGGGTCTCATCTGGTCCAAACTGCCTCTGTGAAGTTGAGGATGACCTTGAACTTCTGATTCTACTGCCTGCACTTCCGAGGAGTTAGGAGAGCATGATTCAGTTTGTTGTTTGTTTGTTTGTTTTGTTTTGTTTTCCTGACAGAGATTTCTCTGTGTAGCCCTGGCTGTCCTAGACTTGCTTTGTAGACCAGGCTGGCCTCAAACTCACAAAGATCCACTTGTCTCTGCCTCCCAAGTGCTGGACTGAAGATGTTTCAGGGTTTGTTGTTGTTGTTTTAAGACAGGGTTTCTCTGTGTAGCCCTGGCTTTCCTGTAACACATACCACACACACACGTACACAGACACAGACACAAACACAGACACACAGACACAGACACACACAGACACACAGACACACACACACACACCACACATAGACACACACAGACACACACACACACAGAGACACACACACACACACACTCACACTCCTCCTCCCTACTTCTCCCCCTTCCCTTTTACCCCTACCCCCTTCCTGATTCCTTTCTCAGTCCTTCTCTCTAGATCAGGCTGACCTTGAACTCACAGAGGTCTGCCTGCCTCTGGATCCCAAGTGCTGGGGTCAAAGGCAAATGCCATCATGGCCATGTTGGTGGTTCAGGTTTTAAGAGCACTCTTTGCTCTTGTAGAGAACCTGGCTTCAGTTCCCAGTACCCACATGTGCTCACAGCTCTCCTAACTCTAGCTCCAGGAGATCCTATGACCTCCTCTGGCCTCAGGGTACCTGGAGTGCATGTACACAGACATGTATGTGAACAAGTACTCATAAAGTAAAAATAATTTTATTTTGAAAGTTAGGTCTGGCTGTCAGGATGGCTCAGAGATTGAAGGTGTTTATCTTGTAAGCCTGGTGACTTGAATTTGATCTCCACAGTCCACATGAGGTAGGAGAGAGCCGACTCCAGAAGGCTGCCTTTGTAGATCCACCCCCTAAAAAACCCACACACTGTCTCCTCTGACACAATTAAAAGAAAAAAGCTAAGTCAGGCAAGGTGGCTCAGTGGCTAAACCAGGCTTGACACCAAGCGTGATAACCTGAGTTCAACACCCAAGGAGAAGTACCTGTCATGGTGCAGCCTCCAAGGGTGCACTCTGGAGCAGTGCACACATCCACTGCTCACCCAGTAAATAAATAAATGTAATAATGGAAAAATGTAATGTTAGACCGCTTTCCATTCTCATCAGTTTCAATCAATAAGCAGGCAGAGGCCGAGGAGAAAGCAGTGCATGCCTGAGGCTCAGGCTACTGTAAACTTACCCCATGCCACCTTGACTAATAATGGGATCTGATGCTCTCTTCTGGTGGGTCTGAAAAGAGTGACAGTGTATTCACATACATAAAATAAACAGATAAGTCTTTTTTTTTTTAAAAAAGTTATCCAAATACTTAGGTTATAAACTTACCAAAAAATTTAAGAAAACTGCTGGGCAGTGGTGGAGTACATCTTTAAGCCCAGCACTTGGGAGGCAGAGGCAGGTAGGTCTCTGAGTTGGAAGCCTACCTGGTCTACAGAGGGAGTTCCAGTACAGCCAGGGCTACACAGAGAATCCCTCACTCAAACAAACAATCAGGAAAAAGAATCAAGAAAGTCAGACCTGATACTGCTTTGGTGTTATCTAATCCAAATCATTTGATATGTGAAGAAGAAGAGACTCTGATGACAGTGGCATCTAATGTTCCATCACTTTCCTTTGGGAGAGTCCACAGGACTCACAGCAAAGATTCTAAATTGGTGTCTTAGTAACAGAACACTGGTGGAGGGCTGTTGTTGACTACCGTGGTGGTTTAAATGAGAATCTCTCCCACAGGGGCAGCTGTTTGTACTTGGTCCTCAGTGACTGGTGCTTTTTGTGTAGGCCTTGAAGGTGTGGAAGGATGAAGTATCTCACTGGAGGATTGAAAGGGATATGTTATCCCTTCCAGTCATGTATTTTCTCTGGCTCCTGCTTACAGCTCAGGAGTCAGTCTGCTTTGTGCCCCAGTGTTGGAAGTCGACTCCTAGCAGAAAGTGGCTATCATCTTTGCAGCCATCTCAATCCATATACCCTGACAAGAGACTTGTTTTCAACAGCCTACAACAGCTGAGCATACTCTGATAAACATCTTGTTTTTCTCCCATATCTTGTTTTGTTGTTTAATGCCGCCAGCTGCAAGGCACATGTGGTAAAGTGTCTTCAGCTGTGTTCTCCTGCTTGCGCTTATACATACCATGATTTTGTTTCAGTAAGGGGGACTTGAACAGACTCTCTGTCTTGTCTTCATTCTTTGTGTCTCTTGCCTCTCCATCCCCACTCTCTCTCTTGCTAGACCCTGACCCGCAGA